AGAAACTGTTTTGTAGATGAAATTCAGTGGTCCAGTGAAAGAAAATGAGTTTCTTCAGATATGGCTATTTGAATGTTACAAATAATAAAGATCACATAGAAATCTGAAAAGTGCTTAAAATATGCAGTAAAGCTTTGGGAAATGTATTTCATAGATCAGAATATCAGATGCTTCACCCTCATATATTTTTATTGGGAGTGTAAATGGTGTAGCTGCCTTGAAAATAGTTGGCAGTACCTCAAAATGTTAAATATAGGGTTACCATATGACCCAGTACTTCCATTCCTAGTTATTTATCCAAGAGAATTGAAAATATACGTCCACACAAATTTTGACACGTTGTTCTTTTTTTTGACACGTTATTCTTTATGACGTTATTCACAATAGCCGAAAGATGGAAACAACTTAAATGTCCATTAACTGATGAAAGGATAAACAAAATGCAGTATATCCATACAATGGATATAAAAAAAACAATTAAGTTCTGATAAATGAACTACAACATGAAAATGAAAACATGATGCTAAGCAGCCAGTTAAAAAAGACTACATAAAGTGTATGATTCCATTTATATTAAAAGAACAGGCAAATCTATACAGACAGAAAAATTAGTGGTTGCTGGGGCTTGGAGGGGCGCGGAATGGGTAATAACTACTGACAGTTACACAGTTTCCGTGTAGATTAATGAAAATGTTCTGGACAGTGGCATTGGTTGTACAAGCTTTAGGAATGTAATAAAAGCCACTGAATCATGTACTTTAAAACAGGTGCATCAAAAGAAGGGGTGAATGTGAAAAAGAACTCAAATCATTAGCAAGGAGAAGAAAAAACAATTATGACGAATGTACTTTTTAATGGAAAATTAGTTTAAAGAGTGGTCAGAAACAGACTAAAAGAAAAGGATTAGCCAAAATTAAGAGAAGACATTTTCACTGAACTCAATTTAAAGTGTCTATTAAGGATCCCTCCCTTTATATGAAGTAGAAAAGCAGCTAGAGAATTTGTGGTGTTTGGTGAAAATGTGTAAGAAAATTAGAAAAAAGGAAACACAAATAGAGTAAATCAGTGTATATCCATTGCCTGGGTTTTCACTGAGAAACATGCTGGTGATACTTGTCTTTACTGCTGGGCAGAGACTGGTTGGTGGTGGACCAAATTATAATTGCTACAGAAGCAGGACCTATAAATAGGTGGTGAATATGCTCCTGTGTCAGATACGACACAGCAGTTATTACTCTTTCCTGCTCATCCCAGATGCAGCTTCAGAATCTTGAAATCCAGCATCCTTTTAGCTATTACTGCTTGATCAGAATTGGCACTTAAGGTTAAGACTGTTTCCTAGTATTTGTGTAGATCAGGGTTATTGTACAAAAATGTTTGTATTCCTTCAAGATATAAATGTGAAATTGTAGAGGATTTTTTCAAAATCATATCTATAATAATCCATTATACTAGAGCAGGTCATCCTTAACATTTTTCATTTATTTTTTAAAAGGGCCTTTCCTTGAAACAAAATATTACATATAAGTTTAGCATATAAAGTAAGGGACTGCAGAGCTGTGTGGGTTGAAATGGGATGTGTGTGGGTGGGTAGGTGCAAGCATAGGACAGGTAGCTTAGAGCACCATCTACTTTATTTCTGTCTCCCTGCCCACAACTACCCCTTGAAACACCTTCTTTCAACAGTTTTGAGAACAATATTGCCAGAGTAGGAAAGCCTGGTCAAGTGAAATAATACTTTCCTAGGAATTAGGAGGCCTAATTTTTACCTTGTTCTTTCTTCATTTAACTGTGGGAATATGGAACAGTCACTTAATCTACACCATCTTTTGTCTGTGTCATTCTTCAGTGAAAAAGGTGGTTTGAATTAGAGATTTCTGAGGGCTCAATCTATTCCTGGTCTATGATTTTGAATTAGGGAATTTGATTAGTCAAAAGCTTTGTTAATATCAACAATAAAGAGATAAATAGAAATGAACAAAAGGCTAGAACAGATACTTTACTAAAGGAGATGTTCAGATGGGCACTAGATACATTATAGTCACAAGGGAAATGCAAATTAAAACCAAAGTGAGATATATCACTGAAATAGCTGTAATTAAAAACACTGGCAATACCAAATGTTGGTGAGTATGTGGAGCAACTGGAGCTCTCAAATTTTACTGGTGTGACTGTAAAATGGTCACGTTGGAGAACTGTTTGGGTGTTTCTGTCTACCCTGTGACCCAACAGTAATTTACCCAAAAGAAATGAAAATTATACACAATAAGACTTGTATAAGAGTGTTCATTAATACCTTTACTCAGAATAGTTTAGAAACAAATACCTATCAACGGAGGAGTGGATAAAAGAATGATGGTGTATTCATTCAATGGATAAATAAAAAGGAACACACTACTGACATACACATCGTGAATGAATCTTAGAAATTATATTGAGAGAAGAAAGGCAGAACAAAGGTAGAACCAAAGGGCTGTTGACTGGAAAGGAGCACAGGAAACTTCTGGATTGATAGATATATATCTTGTTTTGTGTGTTGGTTACATGGGTTTATACAATTACCAAAACTCATTGAAATGAACACTACGGTTTATAGAAATTGTATGTACCTCATCTTAAAAAGTATTAATCCAGTTGAATAATTTTCAGTGTAAAACTTAAATTCTGAAATTGGTTCTGTGTCATTCCCTTTAGAAGGGGAAGGGGAGGTATAGTTCCTAGTTTGAGGCAGAAACAATGGGATTGAAAGAAAAACCAGGCAAGTAAGTGGATGCTAGAAATTTTAACTCATTTAGTGATTTTTTTATTTCATAAAAATCAGCAGTACTTTATGTTTATTTTCCATGATATATATTATATGTTAGATCTAAGGAAAACATGCTTCATCTAGGTTTGTCCCACTAGTTATTAGCTTCAGTTTGATATGTATTGTATTTTTTAATCACCCAGTTGGTTTTCTGAGTGCATTTTTAGATTCTTAGATTGTAATACAGTTTATTTTTGAAATGCTTGTAAAAATTATATAAACGTCTGAAGCTTTTCATTTCCTTATCTTTGTAGTATTTGGGGGAAATTTTTTTCTCTTGATTTACCTTTTAATTTTGTATTTTAATTTAGTCTCCTTAAAAATTGAGAAGACAACAGTAGATTAGTGTATTTTTAAAATAAAGGTTGATAATGGGAGACTTATCAGAAATGCAAATTTTCAAACCTAAGCACTATGCCAGTAGCCAGTTTTCTGGCTGTCGTCTTTGTGGTACGTACCTTCCTCTGGTGATGCGTCTCCTGTCCTCGTCCGTCAGGGAGCTGCATTGGCTCTGGAGAAGCTGTAAGCCCAGAGTGAAAGTGGTATCTCTGAAAAGTACATTGTCCTCAACTACTAAAGTGTAACTGTATAAAGACCTACTTTTCTAAAACATGTTATCTGTGACCACATTGTTAACAATTGAAAGAGCTAGTTGTATCATAGATACATGACTAATAAGGATTTGACTGTATTTATGTAATAATATTTAGGAGGAGAGAATCAGAACTTTTTTTAAAGCAGTTATTTGAATTATAGGAGCATTAAGGTTTCTGTTTATGCTCAGTAACATAACTCTTCAGACAAAGTGGATCCTTTTAAGAGAAGAAAAACAATTCTGTGGTACCTGGAGTTATCCTACTTTGGATATTAAAAAAGCAAATGATATCAAAATAATTCCTTACCCAATTTGAAAATACTGAAACTATTTTGAACTGAATACTTTAAAAGTATTTATGTCTTCTTGAAATAACATGCTTTTATTGATCTTATCATGGCATTAATAAAAATAAAAAGGTTATAAAATGATTCTAATTAGAATTTTACAGTGCTAGAAATTAAACCTATATTTAACTGATTTTTTTTTTTTTTCTTAACTAGGTCCTTACTGATGTTGCTTGAGCTTACTGTCCTGCAGTTGATCTCATTCCTGTTGGCTAAATATTGTCCCATGACAACATTAAGTTAATGCTTTAATGTTTTAGGCTTCATTTATAGTACCAGGAAAACAGAGAAAAAACTTTACCTGTACATTAGATGATCTAAATATTCCTTTTCTTCCATTCCTAGAAACACCATAACTTTTATAAGTAATCATTTTATAGTCATTGACACACCCTTGGTTTATTCTACCCTAAAGAACATAGTTGAGTTTTTGGAAAGTACAGGATTTGCAAATTTGGTCTTTAACATTCATACACATATATAAACATTGCAGTTGATGACGCAGGGAATTACTGGTGCATAAGATGAATGTGTATTGTGGAACAGAAATAGTTCAAGTATAATTGTCTTTTAAAAATTAATTTGGTTTAAATTTTTGGGTGTTTCTTTAAGTTGATAATGGTTTCTTGAAGTTCATTTTATAAAGATGATTCATTTTGCTGTTCTATGGTACCAGTAGGACTCTAATGTTAGATTGGCATGTTGAGTTGTATAAATGTTAATATTAGTATTAAGTAATGAAATATTGGACAGCTCATTTACATTAAATATTTTTGCAGTCCAGGGGTGAGTGTTACTTCTAGTTTGATGCCTAGTACAGTTTCAGAAAAGAAGCAAATATGAATTGGCTACTTTTTATCTTTTCTTCATGGACTTATCCTTAAATATCAGAACCAAATTTAAAAGGAGCTTCATTTCAGAGCAAGAGATATCAGAAGTTCTCTTTTTCTGAGATCAAAAAAAGATACAGAACAATTAATAGATATGAAAGAAATGTATATCCAAGAATGCATTCTACTAAGATTTCTGAAGCATTGTATTAGTGAAAGAAGTATAATAATACTGACTGAAAAACCATCAGGATTTGCATGCAGAGAGTGTTAAGCAGTCTTTACCAGCAAAATAGTATTATCACGATTTTCAATGTTAGATATTATGTTAAACTGTGATTATAGTTTTAATGCTTTTCTCTTTGAATTAAATTCATACCCATAAAGATGTGCAGCATAATTGTTCATGTATTTATTTGCAGACTACAATTTCCATCGCAGCTCAATAAAAAGTTTTTCCCCTGTTAGTGCTACCCTCTCTTCTGGAACTCCCAGCATGCTTCCTTATACATCAAGGCCCTATTCCTATCCAGGCTACCCCTTGTCACCAACAGTATCACTTGCTAATGGCAGCCATGTTGGACAGCAACTATGTATCTCCCATCAGGCCTCATTCTTCTGAAGAAAACACTGTAAACATGAGTATGAAAGTTTCTTTGTAAAGCATGCAAATTACAATACTGTTTTATTTTTTAATCGGGTTTGCACATTAGGTTTTAACATGAAAAATATATATTTATTTCAACATAGTAAACATCGGTCATAATTCAGGATCACTTACAGTTGTAAAACTTATAAAAATGGTAAATTAAAAAAGTTCAGTGGTTTCTCTTGATAAAGGTATAACAAACTATTCTTTTTAAACTTTTGGGATTTTAAATACTTGTAATTTCTGAGTGGGCAATAGAGTCCAGTAGTTTGTTAAATTTTTGCATAATAACTGCTAAATATTGCATTTCATGACTATTAAAGCACTTGCAGACAGTGGTTGCACTAGATTTGACTGCCAAGGATCACTATCTGAATTAGAGATTAGAACAGTTATATAACCAGAAGCATCTATTACACAGAAAGAAATGAAGGGCAAAAAAGATTAAGATGCAAATTTTATGCAGTACTAATGAAAAAAAAATCTACATGTGGTCCTTGAAAATAACTATAAATATTTTAGTTAATAATTATTTGTTACAGAAATAAATTATAATTTTGCTGTTAATGTATTTCAGGTTTATTATAGTTATGCTTCATTTATGTTTTTGATATTCACTGTATAGTTGTTTGGATAATAAGTGTTAATTTTTTTAAATGTTGAAATCATGTGTTGTTTAATACTTGAATTCAAATTCTTTGACATTAAATATGTGATGCTTCTAATATACATGTGTTCTGTTTTTATTAGTATGTAAAAAAAAATTAGCTCTCAACAATTACCTTGACCTTTTCTTGAGAATAGCTTCCCTTACTGGGTTTACAGTCATGGGCTCCGTGCCTTCATGGGACCAAAGCAAAGGATATTGCAGACAGAAAACTTAGTTTTATGAAACATTGTAACAAAAGTGAAAGAACTATTTTGTTGTTAAACTTTTTTCCCCTTTTACTTAAGAATAACTAATGAATCAATCATTTTGATTGTTTAGTAGTGCACATTTATAATGGATTTCTAATGATTTAAGTAATAAAAGTCCACTCTCAGTTATGAGATGTTAACTTCATTGATTAGCTCATCGTGTAACTGTAAAGTACATAGGATTTGCATAGATAGACTGAAATGGTTGCAAATACTTCTGCTAAAGTTTCTAGCAGAAGTTATATGGAGGAAAATTCTCCTCTCTCTTTTTCATCCTTCAAATAAGGTTCATTCCATAGAACCATATGCAACACTTAACTTTCCAGGTTACTGCATTTGTTTTTCTAATTTAAATGAGCATGGACACTATACTTGACTAGTACTGATTTTTTTTTTCTCTGTGTGTGAATCGTACAGATTTTGCAGTTTAATTTCCATGACTCACAGGTTCCTGTCTTCATTAAACATATAATGAGTTTTTGGTTTATTTTGTCAGCTACTGTGGTAATACCTTTGGTATACAAAGGTGAGTCAGGTTACAAACCAGAAGAAAAACACATTAATATAGTTTTTCACAGAAATGTTTGGAATGGCCCAAATCATAATAATTACAAGTTCCTACATAGCTTTTTCACACCGGGAAAAAAATATCTCAAAACAGTTGAAAGAGCTTATACCACATGGTGTATTTGGAGATTCACAGTAATATGATAGGAGAAACAGAAGTTCTGGTCAGATTCAGTTAACGTGTTGTCTGCCGAGTAACAGCTCTTTGAGCTTGGACACAGTTTGTATCTCTTGGAGCCGTACGTTTCCCATCTGTACAATGGTGACAAATACCTTACAATGTTAAAGGTAAAACAGCTGGCAAACAGAAGGCATTCAAATGGTAGCTGATACTAATTGGGGATAATTCTATAAAGAATATAGTATTTGTACCAGTTTTTTAATTCCTTTTGCTCCCTTCAACCAGAGATGGAGAAATCAGCACATTTAATGTCAAATGCTTTCACTTTCTATGATGTTACAGATGAGCAGTTAATTTTTTTCATACTGCATATGAAATTTCATTTAGCTTGTGGACAAAGCTACTAATTATTTGCAGCTTTAATTCTTACAGTACAGGCTGTATAAGGCCTTTGATTCAAATGAGGCCTTCCTGACTCGGTTGATCACAAGCTTTTATCAAGTGTCTAAGCTCTATGACTGCTCATTGGGCAGGGGAGCAATTCTAAAGAAAGCCCCTTATCAAATTCTCTGTGCAATTTTGTGCAAGGGACCGTGGCTGAAAGGTGGATATGCCTTATTATGTATCCATGATCCATCTTGCATAAAATCCCTTGTTAAGCAGAAAGATGGTTCTGTAGAAACTTTAACCTCATCTCTCTAGTTCTTTCACAGTGTTAGAAGTGGGAACAATTATGACTCAGAATCTAGAAGCCATAATAGAAAAGGTTGATAAGTCCAATTTAAAAAGTAAAGCCTACATGATAGGAAGTACTGTTTGTCAAAAGATAAATGATAAAGTTGAATAGTAATTGCAGATAATTTCACCAAGGGCTCACCTAATATTTCTAGATATGAATAAGAAAAAAACCATCCACTCAAGAAAAATGGGTAAAATGAAAGAATAGGCTGATGGTCCTGAAGCATATAAAAAGCTGTTTTACCTCAGAAATGCAAATGAAAAGTTTAGATATGCAGAAATGCACAGGTTTGATGAAGTTTGGGTATGCCTTAAAAAAAAACATTGCCATTGGGATTATAAATTGGTATAATTCATGTAGAAAGCAATTTGGCAGCTGTCATCCAAAATTACAGATACTTAAATTTGAGCCAGCTGCCCTATTTTTTGGAGATACTTGTATGTATGTGAAAAATTATACATGTAAAAGGCTACCTATTGAAACCCAAATACTCATCATTAGGGGACTGATCAAATAATACATGTTTTGGTGCATACTAAGAAGTACAAAAGAAAATAAGGACACTTTTCTTAAATAGAGGTAATGTTAAGTGAAAAAGAACAAGGTTCAGAAATAACTAATATATGCTATATTGTGGGGAAAGAGGAGAAAACACTTGTATGTGCTTATATTTGCACAAAAGCCAAATGATAATTAGGAAGGTGGATAAGATCACACTTTTAGTGTTCCCTTTAGACACAGTGCAATGATCATTTATCTACCTATCTAAATTTTTTAAGTAAAAAGTTACATAAAACTACTCTCAGAAACAAAATGAAGATGTT